ACACTCCCAAACACAGTCTTCCCACACAATATCCTCAGCTGAATCCCCTCAGCTGAAAGCAAGTAAAAAAACACTCACCCCTCTAGCAGCTCTGTCTCCTGCTCCTGCTCAGAGCTCAGCTGGGTCTCCAATTTGTAGAGGACTCGATTAGTTCTCACCAGTCATTTCCCACTACAAACTGAATGTGCACACTCAAGCAAAACAAACATACAGCTGGGCCCACTGTGAGGAATCTTGATCCAGTGTAAGAAGCACTGTCAGTGGAGCAAGAATTAAGGGGAAAGGGCTATTGGATCCAACCTGCTGTGCTGCTGCTGTGCATAGCACAAAACTTAAAGTAACGAAATGCGTCTTTTTGGAGCATTTGTACATTATTATCACATCATTACTGATCAGCATGCAAGTGACTGATGAGACTACACTGGGATAAAGATTTCATAATGTGTTCATCCTGACGTAATATTTGATCCATCTGAGGAAATATTTGATCACTCATTTTAAATTCCTCCACTTTAGAATACACTACATAATCTTTTTTTAAGGAATCCATAATAGAAGGGATATTTTCTGGGAAGTTAGATTATTTTAGTATAGAGACCGCAAGTATTGCTTTATTTTTACAGAGGACCAAAGCAGAACAGTTGCCATGAAGTAGCTGGGAGGAAGTGCAGATGTCTGACCCTTGTCCGAAGGAAGCATTTCTGATGTGGGGAAAACTCATCTTCATGAAATCCAGCAAAAGTCTTTGTTGAAATTCACACTGCTGCAGAATGAGTAAAAGAACTATTCACCTGATGTTTCAGCTGCCACTGGAATGAGTCATTGGGTTTTCAGCCCTTGTTCAACTGAAAATATGCCCCGTGAAAATAATTAGTTGCTGATGAAGGCCCTATGCACACAAATCAGAGCTACTGGTTTGTTACCTATATAAATACATTGGGCAGGAAGAGTAAGGCAGCATTTGATAGAATGCTAATTTTACATTTATTGCTCTCAAGGTCCTAGCCATGTGATTTACTGAAGACAAAATATATGTCTGATGGGTGGGTTAAATCCTGCACTAGACACACCTGTAATCCATGAAAGGTTAGAGCAAAGTGACTCCACGAGTACAACTACAGGAGAAAATGAAAATATGCCATACCATCAGCAGCAGCAGTAGAAGTTGAGTTCTGCACACTTTTTGAACTATGCCCTCCCTCTGGTCTGGAATCTGCCCCACTCTAGTTCAGTACTAACCATGCTGAGCATGCAGAGGTTCTTGCATGCAGTTATGTACATATAGCCCGCAGCTGTGTATAAACATTTGTTTATTTCATTTATAGCCCACCCTTCTTGTTGAGACTCACAGTGGATTACAAAACATTAAAAAATTCAATAAAATAGGACAAGACATAGTAAACATTGCAACAGGGCGAGGATTCCAGCATTAGAAAATAATGCAAACAAAAAACATTGAAGGCATGACATACCATAATGCAGAAAGTAGATTACAAAGATAGAAGGCAAACAGTAAATGGAAGATGTTACATATAATAAACACTGTATGTGAATCTGGAGACGGCCTGTGAATGGACAAGAAAGATCTTTCTATATGCGTTTGAGTGTGTGTGCACCCGGATGTCATGGCAACCTCTGGTGAATGTGTGTGCACCTGAAGTCATGGCGACCTCTGGTAATTGACCCCCTACTGGGAGCCTGGAGGATGTTCAGAGAGCTGCCCCTGCCTCCCACCTCTGGTATTTCAAGGAGGTCTCCCATCCAAGTACTTGCCAGAGTCAACCCTGCTTAGTTCCAAGATTTGACGAGATCAGGCTTGCTTGGGCTATTCAGATCAGGACAGAGATTACTATTTTCAATTGGATTATAACTCTGGATTTTTACTTTCTCTGTATGTTCATCATGATTTCTGCCTTACACACAAAAAAAGTATTCTTCACAGGACAACAGATCACAGTTTGACATAAATAGTCCTAGATCCACAATAGACTCCTGCAAAAAAAACGAAAAGGAAAGAAAATGTACATAGAATCTTATTGTTTGTGTGTGTTTCAGGACACTATTGATTTAACATTTTCTTGGGTAGGTATTCCAATTTGGGGACTTTTTCCGATAGCCGCCATTTTCCAAGATAGTAGATATGGTTATTTACATATTTAAAATTCACTTGGGATGTTTATCTTGGTGTCACAATATATGTTTTTGAGGTTGATAAAGCCAAATACACTATTATATTAATTGCAGAGACAGCCATTTTTCTGGCAGCCGCCATTTTGCAAGATGGTGGATCTTTTTTCACATTCTTGTAGGATGCTCATATTGGAATCAAATGTTAGAGAATAAGCTTTATATTTGCTTTATGAACTATTTATTGCTACACACAATGGACTGTGCACATACACATAGGCTCAGAAAGCTGTACACTTTAGGCCACCTGTTGTGATGCCACACATAGAGGGTGCCTGCACATACCTTACATGTAAATAAGGTTTCAGCTACACAGTTACCCAGCCTGGTGAAGAAGCACAAACCTCCATTATTGTGAGCAATGAAACAACAACTCTAGGAAGAAACAGCCCCCATGACAGAGCTGCTTGTAGTCACGTACTACCCATCACCTGAGCTGGTATTTCCTGCCATATGGACATTGGGTTATCAATGGAATGGCCAGCTTCATCAGCACTACAATGAAGCATCCTGACGCCTGAATTTCACACCTGTCCAGATGCCATACTCTGAGTAAGGTGTTAGGTTACAATATTGGCCACCCCTCTTAGGTAACCTCCCATTCCTACATGCAACCAATAGGATTGTTTTTGGGACGGACTAACGGGTAGGTGGGTCAAGAGGTTGGTACAGTTACCACCCATCTCTTGGACCCCCTATAAAAGGAGGGAACCAGTCACCTGACTCCTCCTAGCTAGCATTCCCCCCAAAATGACCCCTGTCTGCTTTTACTCCTCTTGAGTCCCACTTGCTATCCCCAACCCTTGCCTCTACTGCCCACACATTCCGGCTGCTTCTGGTCGTGTGTGAATTCCTTAGTTCCATTTCTTCCCCTCCATTCTTTATTGGAACAACCAAGCTGCAAGACAGATAAGTATCACCCATCATCACCCCCAACTGCTAATGCAAATGTGCTTATTTTCAACTGTAATTATTAGGAATTTGATTGAATGTGTGAGTGCATCAGTATTGTTTGTATGAGATATATTTTTTAAGTAAAAGACATCTATTTTAACCACAACAGCCTCGAATTCTTTACTGGTAACCCTTTACTGGTAACCCTTGGTATAAATTGGCAAGAACCCATTTAAATTGCCAATTGCTGTAAATAAAGCAATTTGGCTAACATCAAACAGAATGTTTCTAGAGTCAATAAACCAAATATGCTATTGCATTTGTAAAAACAAAATAAAGTATTTTTAAAAGATTCGTAATATTTTTGGTTTTTTAGATGTTTATAATATTGGGACAAAATATAACAGGAGAATTGTTAAGCTGACAACTTCTAAAAGCACAGAAAATTGTTTATTCTGCTGCCTTAAATAACAGTAAACAAAATATTAGAGTGCTTGTTTATCAGTGTGATATTTATAATGCCTACTTTTTGGTAGTACAGTTCTTTTGACTCTTACAGAAAAGAGAACAAAGTAGTCCAGCCTTCTTGCACCTGCATACATTAGATCTCCATGTTTTACAGGCACACAATGTCAGTAGTTTCTCTGGTTTGGGTCTGAGACACCATAACCATATCCGCTATCTCAGAAAATGGCAGCTACAGAGAAAAAAGGTCCCACGTTTGGAATGTGTACCCAAGAAAATTTAAAGCAACAGTATCCTGAAACACAAACAATAAAATTCTATGTACATATAAATGTATATATTTGCAGGGGTCAATTGTGGATCTGGGACTAAAAGAGTATAATCCTTCCTTGCACAAGGTCTCGGTGTCTGTGGAGGGATCCCTTTAGGGGTGGTTCCTACCCCATCCTACCATTCCACAGTTCAAAGTTGATTTATGTATTAATTTATTAAAATATTCATAGCCCACCTTTCATTTTGGCTAAAGTTGGAAGCCTTCCTCCTATCTAAGGAGTCTTTCTTCACCTTAAATGACATAGCAGCTCACTTGTAGAGCTGAACTCCCAACGTGTCTTGTTTAAATTCAGCTGCTACATGTGTAAAACAATTACACAGTATGTATGAGGACCCTCGTTTAAATGAGAAGTTGTATGTGTGTGTAAAATCCCACGGATAAGTATTTTTGCATCAGGCAGCATCACCTTAAAATTGCCTAATTTGGGATCTGGACACGGGTATAAGAGGCACATGCAGATGTCCTATTCTTTCTTACGGCCCATTGTATTTGCCTGTGTCCATATCAAAGAAGGCCAAGAAACAGGTCTCTGCTGGGCTCTATATGGTTTCTTCTAGGTACAGAGAAGGTAAGGTACAGGTAAAGGTTCCCTTGCTCGAAAGCCAGTCGAGTCCAACTCTAGGGTCATCTCCGTTTCAAAGCCAAAGAGCCAGCGCTGTCCGAAGACGTTTTCCGTGGTCATGTGGCCGGCATGACTACAGAGAAGGACTGTGCCCCAAATATTTTCTGTATTAAAATAAAACATTTCTGTATTTACAGTAAAAGCAGAATGGCTGCAGCAGTTCATAACAACAACAAAGTTTAAAATACTCACAGGTGCCATAAAGGCTTTTATTCATGGCACTGGCCCTTGGCTCTGTTTCAAAGGCACCTTCCTTTTGCAATGCCTACAAATGAACAGGTTTTATGAAGATATCAACAGGTTCCTGTTTCTAAACAGGAGAAATTGAAAAGAAATGAAAAAAAACCCCCAACAAAAGGAAGACAATGTTGAAAGGACCTGAAAAGGCTGAGAGAACATTGGGTTACATTCAGGATGAAAAAATAACCTTTTATAGCATCTGACAATATTTAAATCATATGTTCTTTATTACATATTTAGAAACTCAGTCTTGTGCCAATAAGTAGATTAATCATCCAAATTGTTTGTGTTACATTTCTTCCATAAAAAATTGTCATTTTTTCCCCAAAGTGACTTCTCTTCCTCTTCCTTTTTCTTTGACAAAATGACATGAGGCGCTCTTTCACACAATTTCTCTATAGTTGACATGTCTGTGAGTTTTTGGAGGCTATCCTCATTTTGCTCATTCAGCATATCCCAGAAGTCCTTTGGTCGGGTTTTTGCTTTTTCAACACGGCCTGAAGGAAAGCTCTTGGGAGGCTCCCTTGGCCTATTTCCATTACTTTTGAAGAGGTCATTTAAAATAGAGGTGTCCCCTAGTACATCTGCAAAAGAGTTTTTCTTGCATATTTGAGCCTGTCTGCTTTCTGACTGAGACAGAGAGGGTTTTCTTGGTGAGTCTGTCCCTTTCAAATTCTGCTGTCCTTTAGTGGTATTTGCAGACAGCCCCTCAATTATTCCTGATTTATTGCTTAATGAGTCAGATGCCATAAAATCTTTGAATGCCTGGCTGTTTCTCCCACTAATGCTATCTTTGGTAATGACAGTGGGCAATTGTTTATCTTCAACTTTATGACACATAGCAGTATGTATGCAGGGATCATATGGAAACTGCTTTGTTTCTACTTTATGTCTTTTTTGGCCACACAGATCTACAGTTCTACAAAGAGGAACCTGAGCAGCAGGAGGACCAGGCTTTGATTTTCCATCTTTATTAACAGGCTTTCTTTTCCTGGACTGAGTTGTGCGCACATCTCCTTCCATGCTTCTTTCTTGAACCAAAACTGGAACATCAATTTTTAATAAGTCCTTTAGCTCTGGATACTTTGCACCATAAAATTCTTTCAACATTTTCTGCCTCTCTTCTGATGTTGCCATGGCGATATGCTTTGCGAGTTCATCCACTGAAGCCATACTGAAATGAGATGCCATTTCTTCAAACTGTCTCCTGTACCCATCAATAAACACCAAACATAGTTATTAGTTCTAATGACATAAAGACCAGTCAAGAAATCTGAACAAAAAAAATCTATATCCAATCAATCCATGACACTTACTTCCAATGGGTCAGGATGGCATTGCCAAATCACTGCACTTATAAAAATATATATCATTCAGATTGTGAAAGCAAATATGATGGAAGCATCAAGACCACTCCACTTGCATCTTACCACTGCACTCAGGTCAGAATGGAATGTTTTGCCACTGCAAGAAACTTCTCTGCTAGCAGGACAGGCCTTGTGCTGATGGAAAATGCCATCCTAAACTAAGCACAGCGGTGGGATATGACACACTGCTATGGGGTGGGATGTAGCAGTAGTAGTAGTTGTTGTTTGCACAACAGCTAACACTACTTTCCATTCACCTGTTCTGTCATCCATTATTGCTTTTTATCTCTCCACTTCTTTTTTAACCAAAGACATCAAACCAGTTAATCACTTTGCTACATTTATCTTGTATCTAACAATTCAGTCCTGAACCTACTACAATGACAACAACACTAAAAAAACCTCTGATTAACAATTCTTGGGTCACTTGACACTTACTTGTATCTTATCTAACACTACTTATAAACACTAACAACCTCAATGTAAGACAGACTGGAGTCCAGTGGCACCTTTAAGACCAACAAAGGTTTATTCAAGGTATGAGCTTTCGTGTGTATACACACTTCTTCAGATACAATGAAATGGAAGTTTGTAAGAAAGGAAATATCAGTCTGTACCTGTGCGAGTTTCTTTGCCGGGCTGATGGAGTTCCATTCCATCTGGCTGCGTGTGGTGCCTCCCATGAAGATAGTTCCAGGTGAAAAAGTGTGCCGTGCACACGAAAGCTCATACCTTGAATAAACCTTTGTTGGCCTTAAAGGTGCCCCACTGGACTCTAACTTTGTTCTGCGGAACTAGCCTCAATGTGAGACGGAGGTCCCCAGTGTGGTTCCCAAGGGCACCATGCTGCCCCCCCCCCAGCACCTCCCCTGGGCACTTGCCGAGCATTGTTTGAGAGTGGGGGGGGGGACCAGGTAGACTTTGGCAACGATGGGCTTATGTAAAGGGGATAGTCAGGACAAGAAGCAGTTTGTCCTTTTCCTTTTGCGTAAGTGTTAAATACCTTCAAAATGAAGACAGATACTGCCAGATGAAGGTTTCTTAGCTTACTTTAGTATGTACACTTGTTTTATGTGTATACAAGAAAACATTTGAAACAAAATGTTCCCTTGAAAATCCATCCAGTTAAACAGAACTTCTGCCCCGAAATGTTCAGAATTACTATCAGAACGATGCGTGACCCTAACTCCCTGGTAATTTGCAGTTGGTTCCACCTCCTGCGGTTACTGTTTTGTTTTTCCACCCATCACCCCGTGTCAGAATTCCAAAGGTGCCCGCAGGCTCAAAAAGATTGTGGATCTCTGATGCAAGACAATTTCACAATTTCAACCTTTTCCTCTGGCTTTAGTATAATCCCCTCGTTTATAAACAGCCTCCATCTTTGCACCATTGAAACCTGAGACCGTGCTTTGTTTCTACTCTGCTGTCTACAAACTGAAACTTTATCCATAATTATGCTGTATCAGCACTTCCTTGCCCACAGTTCTGTATATCTTTGTTTGTATTCACGGTTTTGCTAAAAGCAACCTTGCTGCAACTATTATGTTTCCAACAAAGATGCCATGCTTTATTACGAAGCTTCTTCCATTTGGCCAAACAACATTAACAATGAATTACATGGTATATTGCAATCCACATGGTATACTGCATTCCACAATCACACTCAATATAATCACAAACCTTTTGCCAAAAAAGGCTTTAAAACAGACAACTATACCCTATGTGGATGAATGTACCCTTTTCTTGTAAACAACATTAGCAGCGATCACTAGTAGTTTGAAACACTTTACAGATCCCAGTCAGCATATAGTGCCATATGTAAAGAAGTTTAAAACCATTTTCTATAATATTAACATTGACTGGGGTACCAATTATGTCTTCATAAACTTTTTCCCAAGTAGGACTTGTAATTGCTGTAATAAGTCTAGTTGCCACTTCACTCTGTAAGCCTTATGTACTAGCTCTATAAGCATCCCATAGGATTTCACTACCTAGCAGTCCTTTTATGTTCTCAAAAACATTCAAAAGTATAGAGATGTTAATTCGCTAACCTGTGTTCTGGAAATAATTTTTGATTTACACCTACTGAAATCTAAACAGAGGTTTAGCCTCTACTTTTTGTCTCTACTTTTGGGCATTTGTAGTTCACAAAATAGGAACAAACTTTTCCATAAGCAACAGAAATCCTGCGATGCCCTTCTGCTCAGCTATTGTCCATGTCTCTTTCTCTGTCAACTAACCCTGCAGCAGTGGGATGCATAGCAAACTTGATGTGGGGAGGTGATACATGTCTCTTGCTCTTACAAACTCACCAGGACACCAAGGTGCAGAGTTCAAACCTTTTCTTTGGAGGGTGTGATCTACATACACAGAGCCTTCTTTCAGCCCCTTGTGGCAGACAATTCCTTTCATTCCCATTCCTCGCTTCAGCTGGCAGGGAGTTCCTTCACTCCCATCCCTTGCCTTCTGTCATCTACACCTGGCTTTGCCTTCCTGCTTCCTTTAAGGCCCTCCCTAAAAGACCTTCTCCCTATGGCTGGAGGACACCTCCTCTCTGCTGATCCCATGCTCAGGGCAGCCTTCAAGGGATTCCATTTCTCCCAGCAGTAGCAGCTACAGTCAGCCAGCCAACCCCACCTTACAGCAGTGGTCCCTGGCCACACTCTCCCCACTAGCTTCCCTCAGGGCTGACAACTCAACTCTTGGGTGTGGCTGTCCCTGCTCGCCCCACCCCCAGTCCATTGCTCTGGGTGCTGCTGCTCAATAACCTCTAACCTTGGAGCCCTAGGGTTGTAGAGCCTTTACATTTTTTCACGCTGACGTTTTAGCTATGCATCCTCTTACCACAGAAACCTATACATTTCATGATTCTGTCTCAGAGCTCTCCCGACTCTTTGCTTTCATCACACTCTTCCTGGCACACTGAACTGAATTCAATCGTTAGCAGTGTCACACGATGGCTGTGGAAAATCTACTTCCTTATGGCTAGACACTATAGGGATATATATGAGGGCATAAATGCAGTTGTGCAAATTCAGCATCTTATTTTTGGTTTAATTAAAAACCCTTGGTTTGAAAAGGAAGCACATGTTGGTCTATACCCACTCTAAGGACAGCACTGCAGTGAATAAGACGTCATCTGTTTATTCATAGTTTTACGTACATAATAAAGTTTTATGTACATTTTGGACTAGAACACAAACACTGATCAATTTATCCAGGGAAATATATTCCTATAATTTTACCTTTTCAGAATCACAGCATTACATTTTCTTAAAACAGAGGGCTAATTAATAGAGGAAGGGATTAATGAAGGACATTATTGCTGCTAGGAACTGGAGGCTTAGGGTACTTCTTTTGTGGTTAGCCGTCTAGTAAAATGCTTAAAATCAGCCAGAACGAAGTGGCAACCATCCATAACACATTCATGTTGTTCCCATGGTAACCCAAAAAGAATACATATAGTGGCTCTATTTGTAATATAATGCCACTATATCCTATATCAAAACCTACATAACAAGCATTACTATCTTTTCCATCACGACTAACGAAACTTGGAATTCTCACATGTGAAGACAGACAAATATTTTAACATTTTGTGGGGCTGTCCTAAACACACATTTGGTCCATTCAGAGGAATTAGTTTTCAAGAAAGTAAAAGTGCATTTAAACCATTTCCATCATACTCAGAATACCTGACTGTCTTTATCCTATGATGTGATATTTAATTCACTAAATTTATTTATCTGTAGGGAAGAATGGAACAGCAAAGGATGAGATAGTTAGACAGTGTCATAGATGCAACGAACATTAAATTAAGCAAACTCCGGAGCACGACAGAAGACAGGAGGGCCTGGCGTGATGTGGTCCATGGGGTCGCGAAGAGTCGCTGTGTGATTGAACAACAACAAATCCAATATATGCAAATTTTCAGCGTTCTGAGAGGATTTAGCTGTAGGACTGTATGTCATTTATATCAAGATCTACCATTTAGCGCAATATTGGAATGTTACCATGAACCAAATGGCTTTAACAGATTTTCATATTTAGGTGCATGTAATAATAGCACCCATATATCCTCTTCAAGATATATCCAGATCAGAGTACAACTAATTTAAGTTAAAATATTAAGAGGAGAATTTTGTTCCAAAGCACCCCCTGATCTTAAATGCCAGCGTATTGTAATGGTTCAGAGTGACAGACTCTAATCTGAAGAACCAGATTTGATTCCCCACTTCTCCACATGAAGCCTGCTGGGGGTCCTTGGGTCAATCACAGTTCTCTAAGAGCTCTCTCAGCCCCGCCTCCCTCACAAGGTGCCTGATGGAGAGAGAGAAAAGGAAGGCAATTGTAAGCCACTTTGAGACTCCTTAGAACAGAGGAAAGTGGGGTATAAAACCCAACTATTATTCTTCTAGTTCTTTAATATAATTAGGTTACTAACAGTGCAATCCTAAAGAGAATTACACCTTTCTAAATCAACTAGAAATAAGGCCCGTTGTGAAAATAAATACAACGAGATCTAGAAAGAGGCTCTGGGAGTGTGCTCTGGCTTTGGGCAAACAGTGTCAGCTTCCTGTGGCGACCTCAGCAGGGTATAATGACAGAGTGCACTGTTTTCTCCAGAGGGAGTGATCTGTGCTACCTGAAGAGCATTTGTATTTTTGAGTTATCTGTAGCCCTCACCTGACTGCCAACATTTGCTACAAGTGTGGAGTAGCTAGAGAAAGTATTTTGGATCATACAAGTTTATAAACAAGTATGAAGCCAGGTGTCTGGGTCTCTAAACACTCCTTCTCACATTTATTTTTGAAGCTGTAAATGGCACATTCAATATGTTCACTTTGATATCTGATTTTTATGGAGGGTGGCAATCACCTAAAACTTCCTACTGACAATCTCCAAAATTGCTATGTTAGATAAAGTCTTTCAAAATTCTCCCCACCACCACCCCCGTCTGAATTGGCAGTTCTAGCAATGTTCACTAGGAGGCAACTCACTGTATGACCAAGTCATGGTAAAGTTCATACAGTATCACCTCAGACATAAAGGACCTGATTTAAACAAAGTCTCAAATAAAAGTTGATATGTTCATGCACTGCATATCTTTCACAGGAGGGCAATATGAATGAAAAAGTATTCCATTTCCTTGTCCCCTACCAATATACAGGAGATATAACAACTGCTGAAAATATATATCTATAATATGTATTTAAATACATTATTTAAACTAACTAACTAACTAAATAAATAAATTTATAGATATGGCTTGGCTGAGGGTTTGAAGGCCATGGTTGGACAGAGACCAACAGCGCTGATTGATTCCGTCAAAGATGGAGGTTCTGTGGCTGGGTGGGAGTGATCCAAGGCTGGGATGTCAACTCCCAGCTCTTGACGGTGTGCCACTAACATTGGCATCACTGGTCAAGAGTCTGGGTGTGCTTCTGGACACCTCATCTATGGCGGCCCAGACTGTGAAGGTTGCCAGAGTACTATCTCTTTAAGGGTTTGGGGTTTTTTGCAATGTCATTCCCCCCCCCCCCTAATTTTTTCCTTTCTGTGACTGACTTCTGACACTGTATCAGCATTGAATCATTCTCTATTACACTATAAGGCAATTTTACTAGCACACTTAGGACCTAAACTGGAAGGTATTTCTTTTTTTATTTAATTCCTCATATTTTTATTTAATACATTTTACTATTGGTTACATTTTGGAATTTATTGTCATCTTTATTTCCAGGTACATATTGGAGCTGCGGTGGCTCAAGTGGTTAAGACGCCGAACTGCAGGCTGTGGAAGGTCAGTAGTTCAGCAGTTCAAGACCCGGGTGCCGCAAAACGTCTTCGGACAGCGCTGGCTCTTCGGCTTTGAAACGGAGATGAGCACCGCAACCCTAGAGTCGGATTCGACTGGCTTTCGAGCAAGGGAACCTTTACCTTTTTACATATTGGTACTGATATTATTTCCAGTATATGCAACTACTTCTGGCACAAGGCCAGATTATATTTGTGGCCCCAAATAAAAATCTTTTGGTGTGTCATTCAATTCCAGATTGGAAGTAAGTATATTATGTTTGAGTACAGTAAAATATTTTTTAAATATTGGATGGAATTTTTAATTGAATAATTAAATATTAACCTAAAACATTTTCTCTCTCTCAATACAGCATTCCATTTTTGGCCCTATTTATTAATTGCTTATTGTCTTACATGTGTTACAGGGACTTTGTTGCTTGGTGTATTTTGTTCTTTGTACTATTTGACCTCTGAAGAAGGCTCCTGTGAGCCGAAACGTGTCAGGTCATTGTTCTTATTTGTGCTTTTGTCACTTTGAACATTTTATGAGGCTTTATTTGGGCCCCTACAAGGTTTCTATATGTCTTTGAAATAAATATTCTTTTGTCTATACTTATTTATGTTTTTAACTTTTGGCCCTCAATAAGTTTTCTAAACTTCCTTTGAAGGTTTTTGCTAGGTTAGTTTAGTTCCCCCCCTCTTTTTTTTGGGTTTAAACTGTAAGGGCCTAAACAGTCAGGGACCAATGTACCTGTGGGACCGCCTCTCCCAGTATGTTCCCTGAAGAGCACTATGCTCACAAGATCAAAATCTGCTGGTGATCCCAGGCCCAAGAGATGTCCGGCTATCCTTGACCAGAGACAGGGCTTTTTCAGAGGCATCCGTGCCCTCTGGGATCTTGTCCAGTTCTGCATGGTGTGTAAAACAGAGATGTTCCACCAGGCCTATGGTTGAGGACAGCAACAGTTTTTCCATCTCCTCCAGCCCAGGACCCCACCCCTTAGAGAAAGCAACCACATGCAGAATGCCATCTAGGAATGAAGGTTAATGGTTTCACTGGTTCACCAGAAACCAAAATTGATGGTTCGGTTTTAATTTAAATAATTTCTATTTTGAAATGTTTTTAACTGAACTGTATTTTAAATATGATGTACACTGCCCTGAGCCCTCTGGAGGAGGGTGATTTAGAAATCCTATTATCATCATCATCAACCATTCTCTTCAGAAGTTCACCTCTCAAAGATAAACTTTGTGAGATCCAGACATATAATGTGATTTAAGTTAACTTAGTTTAACTTAAGAGATATTCCAGATCATATAAACACTAATAAAGAACATGGCAACTACAAACATCAAATAATTCACCCGTAATTTATGTATTTCTATGCTGCTTGGTTCTGAGTTCTTTCAATGACAGTAATTATTACAGCCATTAACTAATAAGCAACAGTGCCACCACAGCCACTAATGTTTATTGTCCCCGTTTTCCAGAAAATAAAGGGACCTCTAAAAGCTGCAATTAAGGTAAGATTCTTCCAACACTCAACTATCACAGAATTTCAAAATACATTGCAAACACATTTTAAATATGATCACTGTGATGGAACCTAGAAACAAACAGGTACTGACAAGCCATAACTACCTTTGTGAAATGCAAAATCTGAGCCAACCCAACCAAAGATAGTTGCTATAATTTAGGGGAGCAGCTTATTATTCTTTTTCTTGCTATGGTATATGCTGCCACAAGCATCTGAAACTCACTAGCTACCACTAGGATCAATCTGGGAGTAAGAAGTATATCTGCCAAAAGAAGCAGCAAGACATTGGATGCTGGTTGTTCCCTAGATATGCCACATGCTTATAAAGCTTCAATTTTGACAACCAAGGTTCAAATTAAATTTGTAAAATTATTATTAATGATTCTCACTGAAAGCTAAAGCATATACAACAGAACAAAGAGACAAAATAGTGAGGCTATTTAAGGCCATCTTCCCAACCAAAAATAGTATGCTTACCTGCGGATTCTTTTGGGTGTCTTTCCAATCAGGAATGTAAATGAGCCTATTCGGTGGACCCTCTTCTCCTTCTGGTGTATAGGATGCGTAATATAAAGAACAGAGGGACTGCTGGTTTCACTTACTGAATGATGCTTCCTGGCACTCTTCCATCTTGATATAACTTGTTCTGGATTCTGTCTGTTTTTCTACACCAAATTTGAAATAAAAAACTTCAATATTTCCTGCTATCTAGCTTTTGTTCTATGATTCTTGAGATTTTATGACAGAAAAATATCCCAATATCTATATGTATTTTATTAGTAAATTGGTTGATTGTTAATCACTCTAAAATTGCAATGGAGACTGCATGTTATAAAACACTCACTGAAGTATTATCACTCAACTCAGAAACCTCTGTGCAGAAAGGTTGTTTACACTAAAGGGTGGATCTTTTCCAAATAAAATTCTCTCAGAAAAATATGGAAATATCCTGCTACTGCAGTACTAATATCTAGGATGAGTGAGACAGAATAAGAACTGGTTGCTGAAGAGCTGATGATGTACCGTTGTTGGACAGTTGTTGCACCAACAAGACCAACTGCTTTTGTTTTCCCAGTTCCAGTGTTTTTATTCATATCAGCCACACGTACAAGGACACAGAAATCATTGACAATCTTTCATTCCTTTATTGTGGCTGGGCCACAATCTAAGCTGCAGAATCTCATTAGGGAGCTCAAGCCTCTAGCTTATTCTGCAAAAGAAGACCACCTTTCTGGTTCCCTGGTTCCATTGTGGCCCACCATCTGTCCAATATTTTTTTAGTGTTCCGGTCAGTTCTTAAAAAAGATGTACTTGCTCATGCTTTAGTAGCACCAGCCGCAAAGGGCCTTCTTGGTCATGGCACCAAAACTTTGGGAACTCTGCCCCCAGAGAAATTCATCTTTCTCCCTCTATCATCTTCCTCCAGCAGGTAAAGACATCTTTCTTCAGTTTGGCATTCCCTCACGAACTCTAAATATCCCTCCCCCCTATTCATGTTTTTGAGTGTTTATATTTTTATTTAATTGCTTTAACTATTTTATGTGTATTTGTATTTTAAATGTTTTAAACCTCTCAAATGTTTCAATGTTTTGTTCGTAATGTCTTAATATTTGCCACTTTGGGTGCCCTAAATTGGGTGGAAAGGTGGAAGAGA